GATGCAGTTAATAATAACATCACTTCCTTGCAGTGGAGAGGAGTTTAGCTTTGATATATTAAAACCAGTAAGCTTTTATGTATGTTTTCTGGAGTAGGTGGACATCTGGGATTCATACGCTTTGAAATATGCTCATTCTGTGCAAAGGCCAAAAAAAGGAACATGACTCCCCGTTCTCCATAGCAGACATGCCTTTGGTGGTCCGGGTAGAAAGTCTTGTCGGGTTAGACCCTCAGCTTTCAGAGACTTTTGTTCCAAATGCGGTTTCTGGGTTTGACTGCAGTGCGTTGCCGGCACAGAGGACTGGCAAAGGGTGAACACCGAGATCCCTGTGAAGTCTCCTCGCTTTGCAGTTTTTGATTTGGCTGAAGGCAAATCCTACTGCTTCCGAGTTCGCTGTTGCAATTCAGCTGGAATTGGTGAACCTTCAGAAGCAACTGAAGCCACTGTGGTGGACGACAAACTTGGTAAGTGTGTAGTCGTATGTAGTAAATTACCTCCATGGTATCTTTTCAGTTTATGATGTAATTGTTTTGTCTGAAGACAGATAGCTGCCCAGTAACTAATTTAAGTATGAAGAGTAGTCAGTGATTTATTCCCTTTAGCTAAAATAATTTTGGTTTGGGTTGTTGAACCTTTAATGTGTAGTCAAATGACTGATGCAAACTAAGGGAATTAAGCTGCAAATAGTGATGCCAAGAACTGCAAAGGCTGAAAATAGTGAAAGAAAATGAAAACTCAAGGAAGTACAAAAATGTTTTGTTTTACTTAGAGTCTTTATTGAAAATAAGCCCAGACATCAGCAGAGTTTAACCTTCTTTGCCAAATTAAACAAAAGTGAAGAATTTAATACTTACATGAATGCAGAGACTATTTCCACTGGAAGAAAAGCCAAGATGTTCACCACAGTAAAGCATCAGTAGCTATGTCTACATTAGCAATTTGTTTCCAAATGGCAATGCAGATTTGAATCCAATTCCTGGATTGTCTCCATTTGCTTCATATTTGTTGAATTCTCAGAGCAGTTTGATGCACATGAACTACATTCTTTAAGAAGAAGAGTAAAACAGCTCTTCTTGAAAAACACTTTGGATGCATTTTGCTACTTAACAGGGGCATTTGTTTCTGACTTATTCTGTGGACTGCACAAAATCCTTCAGTGTGCACCTAACATTTTCCCTTTTAGAAAGCTCAAAATCACATCTCTGGTGCAGATGTTCAGCACAAGGGAATAAACTAAATCTAATCTGAAGGAAATGCCCATAACCATAGGCAACGGAGATGTGAGGAACCTCACCATCAAAGGCTTGAACCTACTGATCCTGTCCTGCTGTGCCAGGTTACTTGACTGAAATCAGAGGAGATCTGGGAGGTTAAATCTGTATTAGTTGTGCTAATATAATTAAGAATAGAATGTCACTCTTATTTTATTTGTAAATTTTGACTGACTGGTCACTAATTTACTTCTGTTTCTCTCCCACAGATATTCCCAAAGCTCCTGGGCGTATTATGCCAACTAGGAATACAGATACCTCAGTTGTTGTCACTTGGACAGAGCCCCCAGATGCCAAGGAGCTGGTTGGGTACTACATTGAGTCAAGTGTAGTTGGATCTGGTCGTTGGGAACCATGCAACAACAATCCAGTGAAAGGCACAAGGTAATGGATTTTAAAGCATGGAAATTATGGTCACCAGTTTTTGATTTACTGGATATATGTGCTTTCCAACCATTAGTAGTAGTAGAGTTAATTGCTCTGTGGTAGCCAGCAGGCTGGAATCACTCTTGCAGCTGAAGTTCATAAAAAGCTATAAAAACATATTTCAAATGGTGAGTGTTGTCCAAAAGGAATTTATAATCAACCTTATATTAGAAATAATTAGTCAAGGGGCGGGAAACGTGGACATTGCTAGTGAAGAAAAGAGAAGCAGCTCGCTAGTTCTAGCTATTGTACAGCCTATCAGTTTGATGAAAAACAGTACAGCGAGGAATGACTGAAGTTACAAATGTGGAAAACTAAACTGCATAATGTTTGGAAGCAAAGTCCTTTGTTTTGGAAGACTGCTGTAAACATTTCTGGACTGTATATCTAGAATGTCAGGAGGACATGTGGACTGTATCATGCTAACAATATTACTTTCTAAATGCTCTTTCACTTGCAATTATCAAGATATTAATGAACACTCTTAAATATTGGGTATAAACCCACATTTGTTACCTACATGAAGGTCAGTCTCTAGTCAGAAAAAATAATCAAGATTTAAAACTTTGCAAGATAAATCAGATTTGGTTTTGGTTGAATAAGGATGTAATCTTCAGAGTCTAAAGGAGTAATTGCAGAACTTGATCTCAAGTGGATTGATGTCAATCCAGAAGCAGTCCCTGCTTGTTATGACTGATTATGCTTGTTTGTAATTGCTATCCATGACAACGCTTATTACAATAAGTAAGGCTCTGCTAAATACTCTTGGACCAAATTTGTTGTTTGAAAGGTCATTGTAAATGCTTAGTATATCAAAAGTACCTAAAATCCCACTTGCTTGAACACAAGCACAACAATTTCCTTTAAGTATTCTTTTGTGCATTTATATTGCAACAGCTGTTTGTGCCAATATTATATACTTTCATATACAGTTCTATGATTTATATTGTGGTTACATTAAGAGTTGGTGAAGTTTCGTGCTGTTTGCTTATTTTAAAATATGAAATGCGATCTTTATTCACCGTAGAAATAAAAATATTGTTCTGAGTTACTATATATTGTGATGTGACGACACTGCTTAGGTTCCTGTCACTGCATTTTTAGTCAATGCAATATAAAGTGTGATGCAGTCAGGCACAGCCTGTCTGTTAACTCCTGGCTTTTCTGATTGAGTCAGTCTCGAAGTATTAGCTGTAGCTCATAGTTTGCATTATGCAGTATATTTTCATCTTTTGAAATTTGTTTTCTGCACACATCCTGGTGAAAGCAAATGATTTGGAAAAGTCTGGTAGAATGGGTAGGGGAAATTCTGCTCTGAAAATTTTGATTCAGGTTTTATTTTTTTCCCCAAAATAAAATTTTGATTTTGAAATACATTTTGGTTTCCACATTATATTTGCTTTATACATCATCGCATGATGTCAGCATTGGTAGTGCAAGACATGACATTATGAAGTAGAAGAAAATAAAAGTAACATGAAATAAAATACACTTAAAATACCTATTGAAAAATAAATGTTGCTTTAAATAAAATGTTTAAATTTCCAAAACACAATTTTTCCAAAATAAATTATTCTTGTCTTGGGAAATTTTGTGTTTTCAAGGTGGACACCAGAGAAAATTTATGAGGTTTTTTATGTGATCATTAGGTAATGAAGTACAAAAACTATTCTAATAAAAGAGTTTGTCTGACTTAGATTATTGTGTCATATATAGAAGCAAGAAAATGAAATTAAAAATTGGACACTTTTTTTTTAGCTCTTGTACAATGCCCTGTAATTTTTTTGAACACTGCAATTTTTCATTTTTGATTGGAAGTGAATTATGGGAACTTGTGCTACAGGTGTCTTTTACTTATGTCATGGAGATATTCCACAAGCAAATATAGACCTTATCTCTGCAGATTTTCGCATTGTTTCCATTAGGAAGTATGGATTTTATATACTACCAGAAGGTAGACACTCTGGTAACACAA